AAAAGGAGCTTTAGAAGGAGACCAATAAATTGTAGCCAGAGAGAGGGGAGGAAAATGGAGTGTCCTGAATCCAGATAATCTGTTTCATAAAGTAACATCTTGATCTCGGGGGGCATTCAAGTTTTATCCCATCAACTTAAGACCCTGAAAGTTCTGAGGTTTTAGTCCTCTTCCACCTGGGGTAGGCCAGCTTCTATACCACTAGCCAAGAGGAGTGCTAGACTTCTAGGTATTCTGAAGTTCAGATCAAGAAAAGATGATCCCTTTCCCCTCCCCCAGCTTGAACTCCCTGGCCTCTCTCCTGGTCAAATGACAACGGGAAATCTTACCCTTAGAGACAACCTAGCTCCCTACTCATAGGCAAGTCTTGTCTTACTTTTGCAGATTATACCCTGATGGGGATGGCTATCAGAATACAACAGATACCCATAACCTCCATGCCAGAAATGCCAGGGAAAGGGTGGCCATTATTTCTTTCTTTCTTTTTTTTTTTTTTTTAAGGTTTTTTGGCTGTAAGTTTATTCAATGCAAAATAATCCTCTTCAATTTTACTGAGGTGGCTGACCACGTCCACGACCAAATCCACCTCTAAACTGAAATTCGGTTGCTGACCCAGCCCCAGCCTCGGCTTTCTTGTCGGTACCAGGTAGCACAGCACTCCATCTGTAGGTATCTCTGTCAGCTTCCCCTCTTGTGAGTCTCACAGGTCGCTAACCCTCCAGACCTTTAGGCCGAGGCCTGCCAGTCTCTGGACGGCTACGGCGTAGGGTGGCAGGCACAGTCTTCAGGGGCAGATGAAGATAATCACGGAGATACTGGATACCCTCATTGGTAAGGTACCAGTAGAAATGTCTCCAGGAAACTGTTCCTTCACGTAGCCTCGGGACTTGAGAGACTGCATGGCCTTCATGACATGAAGGTTGGGCACATTCTTGTCTGCCAGCTCCAGGTGCTTAGGCATGTGGACATCCTTCTTGGCCACCATGACTCCCTCCTTAAAAAGGAGTTCGTAAATGGCAATCTGGTTCTTCTTAAGCATCAATGTCTTGGCGGCTGCAGCGTCTGGGGCTGGGGCTCCCATTATTTCTTAAGAGGTAGTTAAGGAAGAGCAGTGGAGAATGGTTTGAAGGGAGATCTGGGTTCACATCCTAGCTCTGCCCCTTACTAGATTGTTATCAGTTGTCAAGTTACTCAGCCTCAATAATTCTCAGCTCCTTAATCTATAAAATGAAATAATAATGCCTCGTGAGAAGTAAACGAGGGTGCTGGTATAGTTCGTCAGCATGCATGCCCATTTCTTATTTGGTAAAGAGATAGCACCTTTACTCACAGGCATCATCTAGGTTGGCCCACGAGGCAGATTTTTCTCTCTCACATAGTACCTGTTATCCTTTCCCTTCTTGCTTCAAGTGCCCCTATTCCAAAGCTGGGAGGGAACCAGCAGTCTGCCTGAATCTTTGCCAAGGTCATGGACTCCCCTGAGGACATAAAACCAAGGAAACCCTACTCTATAAGTAGACTCTGTGAGAACCATCAAAGAGGTCTAACTTGTGTGGAAGCCAAAAGCCCTCTGCATTTACATGATGGATTCTAGAGAGAAAATATGAGTTGCTTTCCTGTTTACTTCAAGGCAAGGGGAATGACATGAATATATTGTAATATTAGGAAATTATATCCACCTTGTACTCTGGAGATAGTAGGAGGGTACAGGCTAGCTAGCCCAGACTGTGGTTTGGGCACCAATCAGAGGTTCAATTCACAGTGCAATTTTCAATTATTGGCTGGGTGTGGTGGCCCACGCCTGTAACCCCAGCACTTTGGATGGATCACTTGAGGTCAGGAGTTCGAGACCAGCCTGGCCTACATGGTGAAACCCCTTCTCTACTGAAAATACAAAAATTAGCAGGATGTGGTGGCAGGCACCTGTAATCCCAGCTACTTGGGAGGCTGAGGCAGGAGAATCACTTAAACCTGGGATGAAGAGGTTGCAGTGAGCTGAGATCGTGCCACTCCAGCCTAGGTGACAGAGTGAGACTCAGTCCCCCCCCCCAAAAAAAAAAAAAAATTCAGTTATTTCTAGTGTTGTTTCTTGGTGAGTCCAAATGCATTGTGAGCATAGGCTGCTTTAGGGCTATAGCAGAGCACTCACTCACAAAGTGGAACCTGTCTCACCAGCCAAGCTAGAGAATGACTTCAGTGAAGTGAAAGCCACTCAGACAAGTGTGAAGTAGAGAAGGTCTGTCCAGAGGTCAGAGCATAAGGACTAAAAGCTTAGCAGTAAATGCCAGGCTATTTACTGGCAGGCACTACCTACCAGTTTCTAACACTGGGACATGGGTCAGCCTCTCGAAGCCCTAGTTCTCCATCAGTAAAATGACAGCATTATACTAGATGATATTTTTTACTTCTAATAACCCCCAGATTCTATGATTTTATGATTTTATTTTTTATTTCATTTTGTTACTATTGTTTTTTTGAGACGGAGTTTCGCTCTTGTTGCCCAGGCTGGAGTGTAATGGTGTAATCTCGGCTCACTGCAACCTCCGCCTCCCAGATTCAAGCGATTATCCTGCCTCAGCCTCCCAGGTAGCTGGGATTACAGGCATGAGCCACCACGCCTGGCTAATTTTGTATTTTTAGTAGAGATGGGGTTTCTCCATGTTGGTTAGGCTGGTCTCAAACTCCCAATCTCAGGTGATCCACCTGCCTCGGCCTCCCAAAGTGTTGGGATTACAGGCGTGAGCCACTGCGCACAGCCTCGCTTTTTTATTTATTTTTAGACAGGGTCTCACTCTGTCGCCCAGGCTGGCTAGAGTTCAGTGGTGCAATCTCAGCTTACTGCGATCTCCACTTTCTGGACTCAGGCAATCCTCCCATCCCAGCCTCCCAAGTTGCTGGGAACACAGGCACCTACCACCACACCCAACTAAAATTTTTTTGTATTTTTAGTAGAGACAGGGTTTCACTATGTTGCCCAGGCTGGTCTCAAGTTCTGGGCTCAAGCGATCCCCTGGACTCAGCTTCCTCCCAAAGTGCTGGGATTACAGGTGTGAGCCACCAAGCCTGGCCAATTTTATGGTTTTATAGTTCCAAGTTCATCTGACTTAGTTCATAGACCTGATCTATATAAATACGATAGTCCCAAATGTATCCTTCCAAATTTCTTATTTTAAGGCTTTCTTGTCTCAGAACATCTCAGGCAAACTAGTATAGCAAGAAACTTTGAATTATAGTGATGGGCCGAGAAAAGGGGGAGGAGACACAATTTTATTTGACATTAACTTAGATTTAGTGTTTCTACCTTCTCTCATCTTCTAGAGAAGAGAAACCCAGGAGAGAGCTGGGAGTACCTGGGATTTCTTTAGTCTGTATATCAGTGTTTTGAAAAGTTATGCAGATAATACATTTTCATAAAAAATTCAAATAATGCAGACGTATACAGATGTGAAATTGAGATCTCTTCATTACCCTCTCTCCTTCTTGCTCCGTCTGATCCCCCACCCCTCTCTGGAGGTAGCCACCACCAACGTTTGGTATCTTTCCATTTCTTTTTCCCTGCACACCTCCACCTCCAGTATTTTAGCACACTCCGCCCCATGAATACCCATTTCTTGGAGACCGGTGATAAGAGCAGCACCAGAAAGAATGAAAAGCTTAGAAATCATCACTGGCCAACTTGGTGCCAGTCATCTTAAAAAAAAAAAACAAAAAAACAGTGGAATAATTTTAAAAAAATCATTCTCTTGAGGTAATATTGTGTACGTGCTTTTAGGAACTAACCTACAACATGAATATTGCCAGGCAGTTGGAGAAACTCCTGGAAGAAGAAGAAAGTACCAAGCTGACTTTATTACTCTCATGGGGAGGTATTTCTTTAACAAAATTTATTTGTGGGATTTACCAAGGAAATAATAAAGTTCTCATGATTGATATTTGTCTTTAGAGAATGAATAAAGTTTAGGGGAAGTGCTTCTATTACTGCATCTGCATCTCAGCTTAACAGAGGGACACATAACTTTGGGCAGAGGGTAAATTTCTGCATTGTGTTATCAATGTGGCATTGTTATAACCCGCAATGGGTTTGACAGACACCACAGTTCTCCCAGAAAATGTACTATCTATAAGGCAGGAACCTCGTCCTGTTAGTCTTCAAAACACTTTTCTCTGTTTTTCTGTTAGCATTTGCTGAGACTCTCAAAAGTCTATTCAATGGCTCTGATGCGAAACCATCTTATTTCCAATGTCATAGCAATTCCTAACACATAGTAAATCGTCAGTATAGATTTGTTTGTTACTTAATTGGGTTCCTGTGTTAGTCAAACTCATTACGGCTTAGTATTGCTCGTACAACACGCTGAGAAACTCTGAGTTAAGTAAAAGGTCCTGAAACCCACCTGGAGATGGAGATGGCTGAGGCCTTTAGAAGAGTCCACAGCAGTGAATATTGACATTGCTGTTTGGGAGGCAGGATTGCCTGGTGGCTCAGCACTCGGCTCTATGGCTAAAAACCTAGGCACCAGTCGTGACTTTGCCAGTTGCTGTTATTTTAGTCAAGTCACTTAATTTCTCTTTAAGTTTCCATTTTTCTTGTATGTAAAGATGGTGATCATATTTTGTGTTAGAGTTTCCATGAGGATTAAATGAGATTGTGCCTAAAAGCACTTGTCATATAACAAGTACCTCAATAAATAATCTTTTCAAACTTGCCAAGAGCTTTCTCTTTCTTACGAAGTTGCTACAAGATTTTTCAGATACTCTGTGTGTGGTGGTATTCTGGAGACTGCTGATGGTTAGAGGCTGAATGTAAAGTCTGGAGTTTTAATTTTTCTCTAGATAAGTATTCCATCTATAAATACATGAATTGAACACTGCTGTGTCTCAGATTCTCTTCAGCCTCTGCTGATAATATATGCTAGTCCAAAGATTATGAGCTATGATATGATTTGACTTGTTTTCCCCTAGAAAAGGTGAAGTCCCTAATTATCTCATTTTTATTGCAGTTTTACACCTGCAGTAGAAGTCAAGGAAAAAGGAAAGAAAGGCAAAGCAGTTCACTTTGCAGAAATTGATGGTCCAGCTTCAGACAGGTAGATTAACTTTCCAATCATGCCAGAGTTGCATAGCATCTCTCAGTGGAATGCCTTCAGCCTTTACAAACTACGAAAATACCATTCCTATTATTCTAGTTTGCAATGCGAATACCCATCAAAGAAAGAACATGCGCTATTTCAGAATTGTGGTAGGAATTACAATAGTCCCGATAAATGTATTCTGTTAACCTGGCTGTTAGCACATCTTCAACTTTTTACAGTTTTTTAAAGTTTGAAAATGATAGGTACACCAGAACAGATGATTTAAATAATCTATTTTGGATGGTATTTGTATAAACATTTTATATCAGACAGTGAACATCCCTCTTGCCTTAACATAGTAAATAAAATGTTTAATAAAAAGCACTCCAAAATGATCTTACATCAAACAAAACCCATGTATGACACTCAGGCTCTTATTACTGTTTAATAAATGCTTTCTGCACCTCAGGATAGATTGAATACAACTAAAATATATTAAACCACTACTGGCAACTGTTATATTCCAAAACAGGTTGACAGATAAAAGACTTGCTGCAAGAGATGATAAGTCAGCTAAAACTTTAGAGAAACGAGGTCAGCAGGGCACCATTACACTGGATGATGTTAAATGTGAGTAACTGTTTCTTTATCCATACATAAACATTCGTCTGTACATGCATACATAAACATCCATCCATCCATCCGTACATAAACATCCACCCATCTATACATAACATCCATACATAAACATATCTTGTGTGACTCTCTAAGGCAGCTCTTTGTGCCTCTCTCAATTGTCCATTTTCTCTTTTCAGTTGTTACTTTGCTTTTGCTACAAGATACTGAGATGCAGCGGATCTGTTCTTTTACAACATTTATGAGGTATCTATTGCTTATGAGGCATTTTAGATCTTTTATCCTTTATTTTTTAGTAACTTCATCTGATAAGTGATGACAAATCTGATTTTTAGAGGAAGAGTGTGAGACTGGCTCTATGCAAGCCATCCTAGTCACAAAGACTGCGACCAAAGAGTTGGGGAGAGGAAGCCAGAAGTCATAGGAACCCCAAATAAAATCCCAGGGCAAGTAGTATGGAGAGCATGCTGTCAGAGTCTCACATGGACTGTGCTATTTTTATATAATAGTTAAAGGATATACCCATTTGCTGGCCAGGTGCAGTGGCTCATGCCTGTAATCCTAACACTTTGGGAGGCTGAGGCAGGCGATCACAAGGTCAGGAGTTCGAGACCAGACTAGCCAATGTGGTGAAACCCCGTTCCAAAAAATACAAAAATCAGCCGGGCGTGGCGGTAGGCGCCTGTAGTCCCAGCTACTTGGGAGACTGAGGCAGGAGAATCACTTGAACCTGGGAGGTGGGGGTTGCAGTGAGCTGAGATTGCGCCAGTGCACTCCAGCCTGGGTGACAGAGCAAAACTCCGTCTCAGAAAAAAAAAAACAAAATACAAACATTAGCCAGGCATGGTGGCAGACGCCTGTAATCCCAGCTAGTCGGGAGGCTGAGGCAGGAGAATTGCTTGAACCTGGGAGACAGAGGTTGCAGTGAGCCAAGATTGTGCCATTGCACTCCAGCCTGGGCGACAGAGTGAGACTCCCTCTCAAAAAAAAAAAAAAGATCTACCCATTTACTGAAGATCACTTTTCTCTACTAGTTATGTTTGGCAGCCCCAGGATGTGCTAGGTGTGTGGCTCTGGGTGAGTTTCTTGACATTTATTTATTTATTTATGAGACAGAGTCTTGCTCTGTCGCCTAGGCTGGAGTGCAGTGGCGCGATCTCGGCTCACTGCAAGCTCCGCCCCACCCGGGTTCCCGCCATTCTCCTGCCTCAGACTCCTGAGTAGCTGGAACTACAGGCGCCCGCCACCACGCCCGGTAAGTTTTTTGTATCTTTTAGTAGAGACGGGGTTTCACCGTGTTAGCCAGGATGGTCTCGATCTCCTGACTTTGTGATCCACCCACCTCGGCCTCCCAAAGTGCTGGGATTACAGGTGTGACCGTTTCTTGACCTTTCGAAGCCTCAGTCTCCTCAGCTACAAAATTGGGAAGTAATTGTGTAATCGTGTCCCCTTTGTGTGGCTGTGCGTGGCTGTGCCTCACGTGGCCTCTGCACCAGGAACGCTCAGTGAGAGTTGGGTGCCCGATGCCATTTGCACCCCTCCCCATTCCCTTAGCATACACATGCAGGCTGCTTGTGGCAACTGCCTGAGACTCGGCCTGAAGGCTTCATTCCACCACAGGCACACACTCAGCCTGACTGCAGGGCAAGCTCGGAGCTAGGGAATCAATGCCCTAGAAGCAGCCCTTATTCAATGCCCTGCTGGAGGAGGAGTTGGTAGGTAAATTCTTGAGATGTTTTCTACGCTGTCTCCCAGAGTCCCCACAGGACTGAACTCCACTTACTTGTTAACACCCTCTTTGTTGGCTTCCTTTCCTGCCTCATTTCCCCACTTTCCTACTGATATTTCCTGAATCACTTCCAACTAAACTGATATCACTTCCAATAACTCCCCTGAGACGGGGAGTTATTAATATCTTGAAAAGAAAATCTGTAATGCTCACCCTCATCCTGCTCTTTAGGTATAGTTCAAGAAAGCAGTGCCGGAGAAATAATTTCCATTTGGGGCCACACAGAAGGCAGCAAAAGTCTTGAAAAAATATTTAGAAAGAAAACAGTGACTTCTAGTTAAAAACAAATGAGAGAGCATTGTAAATCAGTGCAGCCTTTTCAGAGAGCGAGGCACATACACTCTGTGGTAGCAATTTCACTTCTGTCTATAATATTTTTTTAAAAAACTAAATACCCACAATAGAAGACAGTTAAATATGAGGTATAGAATATTCTATTCAGCTCTTTAAAAGAATGAAGAAAATCTACATATAATATCATAGAAAGAGATCTATGCTACACAGAAAAGTGACAAAAGCAAGTTGCAAAGAATTGTATATATAGTATTACCCCACTTATTACCAAAATACATTTTTTTTTTTTTTTGAGACAGAGTCTGGCTCTGTTGCCCAGGCTGGAGTGCAGTGGTACGATCTCGGCTCACTGCAAGCTCCGCCTCCCGGGTTCACGCCATTCTCCTGCCTCAGCCTCTGGAGTAGCTGGGACTACAGGCTCCCACCACCACGCCCAGCTAACTCTTTTTTGTATTTTTAGTAGAGGTGAGGTTTCACTGTGTTAGCCAGGATGGTCTCAATCTCCTGACCTCGTGATCCACCCGCCTTGGCCTCCCAAAGTGCTGGGATTACAGGCATGAGCCACCGCGCCTGGCCACCAAAAAACATTTTTAAGGCATGTATTCTTATACGTGTGTATATGTTGGTGGAGGAGGATGAGGAGGATGTTATATGTGATTGTCTTATGTTTTAGAAAGTTTAGAAAGGATTCATACCAAACTCTTTTTTTTTTTTTTTTTGAGATGGAGTCTCGCTCTTTTGCCCAGGTTGGAGTGCAGTGGCACGATCTCAGCTCACTGCAACCTCCACCTCCTGGGTTCAAGCGATTCTCCTGCCTCAGCCTCCCAACTAGCTGGGATTACAGGGATACACCACCACGCCCAGCTAATTCTTGTAATTTTTAGTAGAGATGGGGTTTCGCCAGGCTGGTCTCGAACTCCTGACCTCAAGTGATCCACCCGCCTTGGCCTCCCAAAGTGCTGGGATTACAGGCATGAGCCACTGTGCCTGGCCCATACCAAACTCTTAGTAGTGGTAACCACTAGGGAGTAGGATGGTGACAGATGTAGGAGGAGAGAACTTTTTACTTGATACATTTCTCTATATTTTTTAAACAATGGAAATATATTGTATAATAACTTTTTAAAAACGAAAATTAATTAGTAAGCACAACTATAAGAATTTAGTGTCTGACCTCTCCAAAAGTTTTACTTACAAAAACCAGATTTCTTAAATCTTTAAATATATAGTAGATAGAATTTTAAGTGGTAAATTAGTTCTTTGATAGGCATGATAACATGGTTTTCTATTTATTCTTGTGTTGTGTGCTCAATTTTTTTTTATGAGAAATCTTATGTTTGAAATAGGTTAGCATTGACTCTTTTTGTTGTTTCAAATATCCCCATAGGAATAAGAATCTTGATAATTTCCTTATGGCATTATTGTACTACTTAGCTCGTTACTTGGAAAAAAACTCACTGGAAAAGAAACCCAAAAGCTATATGGTGTAAGTAAGATTTTATAGTGTGCTTTAGAGTTTTTTCACTGCCAGTATTAAAAGTAACTTTTGTCTAGGATAAAGAGATGATGGAAATTTTTAAATCTTTGAGATGTACTGAGACATTTTACATAGGAAGAGTGCGTCAGTTTTTAAAGCTCACTGGATAATTTATGTGTGTATTCCAGTAACAAAATATTCCAACTGATACAGACTAGCACTGCACAATAATGAGATAATGAAAGCCATGTATGTAATTTAAAATTTCTGGTAAACATATCTTAAAAATGTAAAAAGATACATGTGAAATTAATTTTAATAGTGTCTTTTATTTAACCCAATGATGCAAAAAATATTATCATTGCAACAGAAGTTGATATTAGGAAGTTATTAATGAGATACGTTACTTTTTTGTAGTAAGTCTGGTATCTAGTTTATACCTATAATATATCTCAATTCATACTAGACACATTCTCAGTAGCCACATGTGGCTAGTGGCAGCCATCTTGAATGGTGCAGATATAGTTGTTGTTTGTGTGCTTTTTATGCTTACAAAGTTCTTGCTAAAGGGCTTGTAAGCATCCAATTAAAAAACATCTAAGAATTAAAAAAATTCATAGATTTGGCCAAAGTGGCATTCCACATCACAGGAAAAAATCCAAGGTTTCTTAGGCTACTTATAAAGAATTTAAATGCTTTAGCTTTAGGCAGAAGTGGCACAGAGGTGTACACCAGGGCAAGAATCTGGGAACTCAGAGTACAGAGCAGAACAATGCCTCTCAGCCTTGGTGACCTTTTGCAAACCATGGAACTTTCCACGTGCCAGGCTGCCCTCCCCAGTAAGTGTGGAACCAACCCAATGATTTAGCTGTTAGGAATGCTGGGTAGAGTAATTAACTTGTTGCTGCAGGATGTTTTCAAAACGCAAAACCCTGTATACAATCAAGCAGTTGGAAAAACATCTTATGGACGGAATAAATGTATCTGGATGGCAGTTTTGTAAAGAACCAAATAAATAATTTAAAAACTCTTGTTCCTGTAAAACCATCATAATATACAACATCAGTGTTATTTTGGGACTGTATTTCACAACAGGGCAGCCAGAGCATGAAATGTTTCTATGGTAGCAAGCAAAAGGGTTTAAAGCCAGCTATGGACTTAGAAGGTTTGAAGATTCTTACTATTTCCAAATAGAAACTTATTAGACATTTTTTGCACTTTGGCTTATATTTTTATGGTATTTCCTCTTCTGAGGCTTATTGCTAATCTAGCAAAAAGATTTGTTTAATTTCTTTTTTCTTTTTTTTTTTGAGATGGAGTCTCGCTCTGCCACCCAGGCTGGGGTGCAGTGGTGCAATCTTGGCTCATTGCAACCTCCACCTCCCAGGTTCAAGCGATTTTCCCAACTCAGCCTCCTGAGTAGCTGGGATTACAGGTGCCCACCACCACGCCCAGCTAATTTTTGTATTTTTAATAGAGATGGGGTTTCACCATGTTGGCCAGTCTGGTCTCGAACTCGTGACATCAGGTGATCTGCCTGCCCCAGCCTCCCAAAGTGCTAGGATTACAGGTGTGAGCCACCATGCCTGGCCTACTTTCTTAATTGATAAGAATAGATAATAAGACAGGTTTTCTAGTTAAAGATGCAAGCAAACATATTAGAACACAGTGGTATAAGGCAGACTGTTCCTTAGAAGGAATCAGTTACTCAGATTGACAAAAACAAACCAATCAAAGCCTTAAAAGTATGAATTTTGGCCGGGCGCGGTGGCTCACACCTGTAATCCCAACACTTTGGGAGGCTGAGGTGGGTGGATCACAAGGTCAGGAGTTCGAGACCAGCCTGACCAACATGGTGAAACCCCATCTCTACTAAAAATACAAAAATTAGCTGGACATGGTGGCACACGCCTATAATCCCAGCTCCTCAGGAGGCTGAGGCAAGAGAATCGCTTGAACCTGGGAGGCAGAGGTTGCAGTGAGCCGAGATGGCACCACTGCACTCCAGCCTGGTGGACAGAGCGAGACTCTGCCTTAAAAAAAAAAAAAGTATGGATTTTATGGTGTGATTCTAAAAATAAAAATTACAACTCTTTATTTTCAGGCTTCCTGTGGTCAGTTGGTTTACTTACTATAATAGAATTAAATGTTGATTGCATTGAGGTATCTGCACAGAAGAAAAAAATTGATTTCAAATACCAAAATAGAGCATAGGGATAGTAATAGCATTTAATTCACAGAGTTATTATACAGAAGTAGATGAGACAGTGTTTCTTAACCCAGTGCATGGCACTTGGGAAGAAAGCCTACAGCCATGAGAGGAAAGCAGAAAAGGGTGAAAATGGATGGCAAAGGTATACTTAGATGATGTCAGGTGATTAAAAGCCCTACTTCCAGAAGAAGAAGTCTTATCTCTGTTTTACAAGTGAAGAAATTAAGGCTCACAGAGGTTAAATAGTTTGTTGGGGATTACGTACTATACCTAGGAGATTACATTATAGTTCCTAGGTGGAACTGATGTTAGAACCCAGGTCTGTTTAACTCCAAGGCTTGTGCCTGAACCACTGCACAACATGCCCAGCACTTCCCACCAGTCAACTGCACTGTTTTCCAGAGTTTATCTGTCCATAATTAGAATTTTTAGCTTCTGAACAATTATGTATATACTGTCTGTTTGTTTGAGACAGAGTATTGCTCAATCAACCAAGCTGGAGGGCAGTGGCACAATCTCGGCTCACTGCAACCTCCACGTCCTGGGTTCAAGTGGTTCTCCTGCCTCAGCCTCCTGAGTAGCTGACACTACAGGCATGTGCCACCATGCCTGGCTAATTTTTTATATTTTTGGTAGGGATAGAGTTTCACCATGTTGGCCAGGCTGACCTTGAACTCCTGACCTCAGGTTATCCACCCACGTCAGCCTCCCAAAGTGCTGGGATTATTGGCCTGAGCCACTGTGCCCAGCCTGTATGTACTTTTAAACATAATATCATATGTACTTTCAAGTTATTATAATCTTCATAATTATAATTTTTAGTGGTAGCATAGTTTTCCATCAAGCCAATGTGTGTGCGTTGACTTACCTACTAAGAGGCAGTATATTGTAGTGGTTAAGGGTAAAGATTTTGATGCCTGGGCTACATCTCGTGGGAGACTCACTCATAAGTTAGGTTAATAAGCATCAAGTCCTTAAACAATATCTGACTGTATTGCTGCTCCCTTTATCCTTCTGTATTAGTCTGTTCTCATGCTTCTGATAAAGACTACCCAAATGAGTAATTTATAAAGGAAAGAGGTTTAATGGACTCACAGTTCCACATGGCTGGGGAGACCTCACAATCATGGTGGAAGGCAAATGAGGAGCAATGGCACATCTTACATAGTGGCGGGCAAGAGAGCGTGCGCAGGGGAACGCCCCTTATAAAACCATCGGATCTCATGAGACTTATTCACTATCATGGGAACAGTACGGGAAAGACCTGCCACCATGTTCAGTTACCTCCCATTGGGTCCCTCCCATAACACATGGGAATTATGGGAGCTACAATTTAAGATGAGATTTGGGTGGGGACATAGTCAAACCGTATCACCTTCTATTTTATATATTTTGGCAATTTCTAGTTTTTCTGATATATAAATAATGATTGCATTGAATGTCCTCATGCATAAAAATTTCCTCCTAATTTTGGATGATTTTTTAAAAAGAATAAATTTCCAGGAGAGATGATATTGGATCAAAATTTATGATAATTTCTATGGCTCTTGAAATTATTTTCAGTTTTTTCCCCAAAGGATTATGCCAATTTTCTTTTACAAGCAATGCATAAGCACATCCATTTCAGCAAAATTTTGTCAGCATTATTGTTTGCATTTTTAAAGAATGTGCTTTAAAAATGAACCACTAACTGGGTTTGTATTTAAGGCAGTTTTACAAAATTAGATGAAAACAGTATGGGGGAATGGTTTCCAGACACAGAAATGTGGTGCAAGCAGGCCACCTCCGCCTGGAGTTTTGTATATAGGTTAGCTTCTCTTGAGTATTTTTTTTTTTTCATAGCTTTTTCCTTTTTTTTCCATTTCAACACATCAGTCCTTTATGTATATGTGCATATGTGGTCTAGGGACCACTTGCCTTGGAATCATTTGGGAAGATTGTTTTAAATTTCCTGGGCTAGACCCAGACTCCTGAGCCAGAATCTTGGAGAGAGGATTGCACTGGGAATTTGTACTTTTAGCAAGTATCCCCAGTGATTCTTTCATAATTCATAGGTTTATTAAAACTTGAGAAGCATTGGCCTAAAAGCTTCAAGGCATTCCTTGGTGGTTGTAGTTTGATTTGGTTGTTTTCTACAGCAAAAGAAGAATATGAGCTACTGGCAGCTCTGGCAGAGTAGGGTGACCAGTGAGGGTGGGGCTGCTGAAGGAAACAGGCACAGGGGTGTGGCCACTGGGGTGCGTCTGGAGGGGTGTGTTTGGGTTATATGGCATTTGGGCACTTAACGTTGGAGCTCACTTTATTCCAGAAATCCATTTTATTCCAATGACTCATAAGCCTTTTCATCACATGTGATAACATTTTCTGCTTTGAAATGTCTGTATTATCCTTAAATACACCCCCTTCCCCTCATGGCATATCTTCATGGAGTCAGTCTAATGGTTATATCAGAAGGGGCAGTCATTTGTCCCTGTTTAGAGTAAATATCATTTGGTGTCTAGTGACACCTCACTTTTCAATAAGAGTACAACTCACTTTTCAATAACAGTATGTTGGAATGTATCATCAGCAATATTGTTTCCTACTGTATTGTACAGCAGAAACTTAAAATCTGGCTTCAGACATGCTGTAACCTAAGAACAGTTTGTCTTTGAGAAAGTTCATTTGCAATTCAATTGGAACTGCGGCTGGTTTCACAGGGAAACAGTGTTATTGTAATTGATGCCAAAGTTCCCAGAGTAGTAGTCCACAGATGCCTCCTTAGCAAACACAACTACACTCAGAACTGAGTGTCGGTCCTTGTTCACATGCTGAGCCCCCAAGCTCAGTAATGATGACATAGAGAACACAGGGGATGCTGAGGTACATAGCCTCCACGGTTGTTTTAGGAAAATAGCAGGAAAGTAGGCTGCTAACTGCCTCAGCAACCAGTATAGATAATTTGTTAGTTGAGCTGTTCTGTATAAATTAGGACTACCTGCATATAAAATTGGGGATACATAACATGAAGTATAATCTAATAAAAAAGCAAAAATAGACCGGGCGTGGTGGTTCATGTCTGTACTCCCAGCTCTTTGGGAGGCCAAGGTGGGTGGATCACTTGAGATCAGGAGTTTGAGACCAGCCTGGCCAACATGACGAAACCCCGTCTCTACTAAAAATAGAAAAATTAGCCGGGCATGGTGGCAGGCACCTGTAATCCCAGTTACTCGGGAGGCTGAGGCAGGATAATTCTTTGAACCAGGAGGTGGAGGTTGCAGTGAGCCAAGATCATGCCACTGCACTCCAGCTTGGGTGACACAGCAAGACTGTGTCTCAAAAAAAAAAAAAAAAAAAGCAAAAATACACCGTAAACTTGAGATGCTGATTCCATTGATTAAATACGAAGGGACTTTAAGGATTTTCCTATATCACTGCTTAAATAAAATAAACTCATTGGTAAGTGAAGTCTGTTGACTCACTTGTATTTCTTTCAAAATAGTTTATGGCTGGGCACACTGGCTCACACTGCCATCCCAACACTTTGGGAGGCCAAGGGGAGGATCACTTGAGTCCAGGAATTCAAGATCAACCTGGACAACATAGTGAGACCCTGCCTCTACACAAAATAAAAAAAGATTAGATAGGCATAGTGGCGTGCACCTATAGTCCCAGCTACTTAGCAGGTTGAGGCAGGAGGATTGCTTGAGCCCTGGAGGTTGAGGCTGCAATGAATTATGATTGCACCACTGCACTCCAGCCTAGGTAGCAGAGCAAGACCCTGTCTTAAAAGAAAAAAATTTTATAATTCTGACTTTTTGCTAGTTAATATAGGAATTTATGAAAATTAACCCAAATTCTCTTTTTTTTTGTCCCCCCCCATCAGAGGCCTTGTAGAGAAAAAAGAAATGGAATTGGTTTTAAGTGAATTAGAAGCGGCACAGAGGTACTTGGCGCAGAAGTACTGTATCCTTGTGCTGGGCTTGGCAATGCCGGATAAGCATCACATGTGCTGTGGAAAGTAAGCACACATTTTACACTTCATTAGATCATCACTCCATCGTAGACTCACACCCTTAAGATGCTTACATTTGGCTTTGGTTAACTTGAGAAAATGTTCCTTCTTCTGTTGTCCAGAGTAATTGGGCTCAGGTGAGAATCTGTCCCAAACCCTTGTAATGTCTCCTTTGAGAGAGTGAAGTACATGTGGAAGAAATCTCAGAATCTCAGCTGATATTTTTAAAACTTTCCACTGCTTGAGATTGAGTGACATGGTCTCTCAGTGAAATCTTGCTGTCAACCATGAAGGGCTCTTGCTGCCAGACTTGGCTCCCTTGGGCAGGAGGCCTTGTGGGGCTGGTAGTGCAGGGGGATTAGGTGTCTCCCTACCCTTTCACTGCTTATTTTGCAGCAGCAACAATTGTGAGTAGGAGCTGCTGAGGTGTGGATTCTAAGATGGTTCTTTGTGGGAAGATCATTTTTACCTTAGGATGACTATTTTTACACCACTGTAATTAAAACTTAAAGAGGAGTCTCATCACAGGTTTGGGATCACAAGGTCGAAAACATCAACCCTTAACTCAGAATCTCCTTCTCTGAGTTTCACAACAGGCCCCAGATCTACACCATGTCAGCCAGAACAGCTTTTTTCCCCTATAGGAAAATAATTTTCCCCTCCATAGGAAAAGAACCTAGTATATGATGTGTCTCTTTCTACATTCTCCACATTTTCAAAGACCAGCTTTGTTAATGAGCATACTTACACAGTTGTTGGTATATACATTTTTGTATTCTGTATTTCTGGGGTACTTTCTCTTATTATTCTGATTATATGATTTCACTTACCACTTTGAATAGGATTCTGTTATGTAACATACATATTTGCTTAACCATTCTTTTTGTGTACATTTGCATAATTTTAGTTTTTGTGTGTTATAATATTTCTGCATTGAATAGCTTTATACAAACTGCTTTGTTCATTTGGACTATTTCCTTGTGGCTTATTTTCCACAGTATATTTACCTAGAAGGCCACAAACAGTTTTGTAGCTCTTGATACATACTGCTAGATTGTTCTCTAAGAAGGTTAAGACATTTTGTATTACCATCAGCAGTACATATATCTGGTTGCGTTGGATTTTATTACTTTAATATTTTTGACAGTTTAAAGGTGTATAAAAAGCTTAAAGATGTTTTATTTGACTGAGTATCTTTTTTTTTTTTTTTTTTGATGAAGTCTCGCTCTTGTCCCCCTAGTCTGTAGTGTAATGGCACGATCTTGGCTCACTGCAACCTCTGCCTCCTAGGTAGTAATTCTCCTGCCTCAGCCTCCTGAGTAGCTGGGATTACAGGTGCTGCTACCTCGCCCGGCTAATTTTTGTATTTTTAGTAGAGATAGGGTTTCACCATGTTGGTCAGGCTGGTCTCGATCTCCTGACCTCAGGTGATCCTCCCACCTCGACCTTCCAGAGTGCTGGGATTGCAGGCGTGAGCCACTGAGCCCGGCCTTGACTGAGTATCTTTTATGATGGTGGAGGCTGTGGTCTTTCTGTGTAAAATAATTTGCTGCCTGCCTGTTCATTTAGTTTTAACCATCTATTAAATGGAAACTGGGAATTTGTATAATTTTTTTTTTTTTTGAGACAAGTCTTGCTCTGTGGCCCAGGCTAGATTGTAGTGACAAGGTGTGATCTCAGCTCACTGCAACCTCTGCATTCCGGGATCAGGTGATCCTCTCACCTCAGCCTCCTAAGTAGTTGGGGCTACAGATGTGCACCACCATGCCCAGCTAATTTTTCTATTTTTAGTAGAGATAGGGTTTCTCCATGTTGCCCAGGCTGGTTTCAAACTTCTGGGCTCAAGTGATCTGCTTGCCTTGGCCTCCCAAAGTGCAGGGATTACAGGCATGAGCCACTGTGCTCAGCTGAAAATTTGTATAATTTTAAAATATGTATCCCATAGCAAGGATTGGTCATTTGTATTTCTAGTTTGTTGCTTTATTTTTGGTATTTATGTTTTTACATATTAGGAAAATGTTTCACATTTTTATTTATTTGAATATGTCTACCTTGTTTCTGATGCTACTCAAGAGTCATGCAAGTTCTTGCCATTCCTAGGTTAAACTATTTACCTTTCTTTCCTAGTTTTAAACAATAAGGTTTTAAAAAAATGTTGATCTTTGATCTATTTGAGATTTGTTACAACATATAAGAAGAGTTATGAATCTTAAGATATTTTGTCTTTACTAATATCCAACTTTCCAATACTTCGTGATTTTAGTCTCCACACTCTGTAACATTTCTTATTTATTAGGTGTTGAATTTTTCTAATATTTTAACCCAATTTGGGGAATTCCTATTGAGTTTTTTTTTTTTTTTTTTTTTTGATGAAGTCTCGCTCTTGTCCCCCTAGTCTGTAGTGTAATGGCACGATCTTGGCTCACTGCAACCTCTGCCTCCTAGGTAGTAATTCTCCTGCCTCAGCCTCCTGAGTAGCTGGGATTACAGGCACACACCAACAAGCCTGGCTAATTTTTGTATTTTTAGTAGAGATGGTTTATTGATCAGTTTTTCTGTTATAAATACAGGACTATATGGCTGATATTTTTCTTTGATTTATTCAACTCACGTTGAGGCCTGTTATGTGGTAGTTATGGTGCCAAGTGCTAGGGTGCAAAGAACATACAGTCTTCAAGGAGTGTGTACAGTCTAATGGAGGAGTCATCAAGTAAGGAAAGCAAAGATTGCTGGTCAGTACAATAGCGGCATAGACAGATAATGGGCACCCGTAGCAGGAGAGTGAGGGGTGTCCCTTAGGGACACTTGACTGAGGAGCATAGGCGGGAGCCAGGCAGGAAAGGGTGTGACTTAACATCTGATAACAAGAGTCACTCCTCTTACCTTTGGCAATGTTCTATCTGGCCATTTTGCCTATTTGAGATAAGTTGCTAGTTTGTCCTAAAGATAAATTCCTTAAACTAGAATTCCTGAGTCAAATAGTATGCACATTTAAATGTGATATATCATGTGTAAATTTTAAGAGTCTTATTCAAGAACACATGTTACTGTGACAAAAGGTAAATGGAAAAACATAATTTGAGGTCCCTTTTTTGGGTTAGTCTTGGTAATTGAAAATGCTTCATGAAATTCTGTGTTTATATTTTGCTGTTCTTACCCTATTTTTCCAGTTTATTTTTTCTTATTACCTCTTACTAAAAGTTTTGCTCAATCCGTGTTTTAATGTCTTTTATTTGAGCATCAATTTCTACCCTCCCATATAATGAACTTTACAAATATGAGATGTGGTTGCAATTTTTTTTTCTTTTTTCACTTTTTCTGGATGTTCCAATCTTTTCTGCCTACCTACGAAAAGAAAAGGCAGGACAGAGACTGTATGTGGCTAATTCAGTCTTTTTTTTTTCTTTTTTTTTTGAGATGGAGTCTCGCTCCGTCGCCCAGGCTGAAGTACAGTGGCACTATCTCTGCTTGCTGCAACCTCTGCCTCCTGGGTTCAAGCAATTCTCCTGACAGCCTCCCGAGTAGCTGGGATTACAGGCACACACCAACAAGCCTGGCTAATTTTTGTATTTTTAGTAGAGATGGGGTTTCATCATATTGGTCAGGCTGGTCTCAAACTCCTGACCGCAGGTGATCCACCCACCTCAGCCTCCCAAAGTGCTGAGATTACAGGCATGAGCCACGGCACTCGGCCCTAATTCATTCTTTAGTTGGGTAGATTTTTTTCCAAGTTACCTAGGGTCTGAGGGGCACAGGCATATCTTCTCTAATTTCTTCTTGGCTATTCATAAGGAGCTATATTAGTTTATAAAGTTAAAAAACAGATATACATATGAAGTTTCTCTTGGCTGGAACTTGATATTTATTGATGTTTGCATCGATATACTTTAGGCTCACTTTCTTTGTGTTTTGGTTGTTTCTTGGCATTGTTTGCCATTTCTCTTCTTTCACACCCCTGTTTCTATAGTGGTAGATGTCCTCGATCCACTTCTGAGGCCCACCATCTGTGTGATTCGATTCACCATGTGTGTGTGATTTTTCATGACTTGGGAATACACTCTTAATGTGTATCCCTGACAGCACCCATTCTTTATTCTACTACATCCGTTCTGCAGCTTTCAAGTTTTTGCTGCTGCAGTTCTTTTATGGAGTTGACAAGTTTGGTTCTGCCTTCCAGCATGGGACCATGAAAATGTGGCACTCAGGGAGTGTAACTGAGCAGTGGCCCCAGCTGTTGCGCCTGAATCCACCACCAGGTCTGCACTGAGGCCACATGTTTTAGCCTGTTTGGGTTGCTATAGCCAAGTACTATAGACAGGGTGGCTTATAAACAACAGAAATAGCTTTCTCACAGTTCTACAGGCTGCAGGTCTAAGATCAGTATACCAGCATGGTCAGGCTCTGGTGAGGGCCCTCTTCTAGGTTGCAGACTGCCAGCTTCTCATTGTATCCTCAACATGGCAGAAAGAAGATGACAGAGCTTTCTGGGGTCTCTTTTCTAGAACACTAATTCATATATAAGGGCTCTATGTTCATGACTTAATTACTTCCAAAGGCCTCACATCCTGATACCATCACACTGGGAGTTAGGATTTCAACATACGAATTTTGGGAGAACACAAACATTCAGCCCATTGCACCATGCTTCCCATAGGCTGCCTCCTGCCAGTGTCTGAGTGCAGCAGGCCCAATCCTCACAGTTGCAGGACTCCTCTGACTGACAGCTTCAGCTCGAGGACTCCCCTTTGGCCTGGTCAAAACTGTCCTAGAGCTTTGCCACTGTCTGAGTTCCTTCCTACCCAGACCCTCCTGCCTTTCCTCTCTCACAGGGTCAGACATGCATTGAGGTGTGACGGCGCTCCTTGCCTTCTCCAGTTCTCTCATTTTCTGTCACCATCGTTTCCTCCAATAAATCTCATGTCTAGTCCTGTCTTGGTGTCTGCTTCTGATAACGTATCCAACATCATGCCATGATTACTATTTTTTTTTTTTTTTTTTGAGACAGA